GGACTTGCCCGAGTTCCGTGTTGACTGACTGTTTGTTCCTCTGTTAGTTTGTTCATGTGTTTGCCCGTTTGTTTCTGGGGGCTGTTTTCCCCCGGGCTTGTTACATGCCTTTTAATTTCCTGTTTGATTTTCAGGTTTATAGGAGAAACGAGGGGTTGGTGTGGGCAGTTCCTCCGCCGCCCTCCCTGCCCGCTTCCCCGGGGTTGGGGACAAGTCACCTGGGCTTCTTGCCGGGGTCGTGCTTGCACTGGGCTGCTGTACAGCCGGCAGCTCAGACTGGGGACGTGGGAAGACACCGGTGTCCACGAGTCAGGTTCTGCCAGCACAGCCGTGTGCACGTGTCTGCATGTCGTCCACAGGCAGAGTCGCGATGGTCACGGCCGCTGTGCTGAGAACAGTTTGGCCCTTCACGGAGACGCTTGCCAACCCCGCATTCCAGCACCGAGGGTGGGATGAGCAGCCAGCAGAGAACGCTGTGGGCTCCAGCATCCTCCTGGCCTCGGCCTTGGTCAGGGTGGCCGGCCACTTCTGTGGTTCAGCCCTACTCGGGGCATGGCCTTTGCAGGAGGCTCCCACGAACCCAGGAGGGGCTCAGAGCTGCCCTGGCCTTGGGCACACAGCAGAGTTGTAGCCTGTGGGACAACTCCCAGCTCACAGCAGCCAGTGGCCCCATAGCTCAGCCCCGTTCCTGTTGCTCCAGCTACGGAGTGGCTCTGTCGCTGGCCGTCTGCTGTCGCCCAGGGGGTTCCTGCCCTGCACCAGCCTCCCCATGCCCTCTGCCACTCACAGGCTGGAGGGCGAACTCTGTCCCCGGAGGAGTCTGCACCCCACCTCCAGAGCGTGTGCATGGGACTAAGTTGGACGGAGGGTCTTTGCAGCTGTAATCACGGTGGCCCTGAATCACGCCACGGGTGTCCTTGTAAGAGGAGACACAGTGACCCAGGGTGACGGCTGTGGGAGGCCAGAGTCAGAGATCGGAGCCAAGTGGCCAGGAGTGCCAATGTTGCCACTGGTGCCAGGAGCTGGAAGTGGAAGGAAGGGCCTCCCTGTAGCCTTCCCGGGGAGCGCGTCCCTGCCGCACCGTGGCCTCTGACCTCCTGGCTCCAGAACCGCCAACTTGTCCAAGCCCCTCAGTTTGGGTGACAACCTTTGACAGCCTCCTCAAGGCTCTGCTGAGTCCACATGATTGGGGTTGGGGGCAGCTGACTGGGACAGGTGGTGGCAGAGGGAGGACATCAAGCTGGACATGTCCGTGACCTTGGGCCTCCCTCAGAACAGCGCTTGTATGTTGGAGAGAATGTGCCTCCCGGAGGCTGTGCCCCCCCCCTGTGCTCCCCAGGGGCATGCTGCCCTCTTTTCTGCGAGCAGCCGGGAGAGGCAGGAGCCCTCCGGGCTGGCCGGGAAGGCTTCACTGTCCCTGGCCGCGCTTGGTGCTGTGGGGCAGGCTGTTTGTTGAAACAACCCCCAGGAAAACCACTTGGCCCAGCTGTCGGTCTCCAAGCATTTTATGTCCCCGTTTTAAACAGGCTCCTCTGCGGGCTGTATGGCTGGTCCTAGGAAGGGGTCAGCCTCGCCTCGTCATGGCCAGCACTGTTGCCAGTGTCCAGGGATGCTGCCTGGACCTTGCTATAATAGAACCTTCTAGAAGGCTGGCTGTGGGCACAGCTGAGCAAGTGGCTGATGGTCCCTAGGCCTGAGGCACACTCTCGGGGGCTGCTGCCATTGGTCTGGGCCTGGACACTGGACCAGGGAAGCCTCTACGTCAAAACAGCCTTCAGACCTTCAGGCGAGCGGGCTGTCCCCTGGCTGTCCCCTGGCTGTCCCCTGGCTGTCCCCTGGGTATCCTGGTTCAGGTCTCTGAGCTTTTCTTGGCCAAACTCCAAACCCTCAAAGGCTTGGGCCCGAGATGTCAGAGGACCCTCTGGACCCGGTTAGCACCTGCGTGAGCTCCCTCAGCCCCAGGGCTGAACGCTCTGTCCTCCTCGAGGTGCCGAGAAGGACACCTGATGTGGGCTGTGCCAGGGGCTCCGTGTTGACCTGGTGGTGGGCACTCGGCTGCCATGCTCAGCCCTGATGACTCTGGGATCTGCTCGGGGTGACAGAGTTTCTGGAGCCGGGGCAGGCCCCTACCCCATTTTGCACCTGTCCCCCAGCTGTCCCTCAGAGCACCAGCCACAGTTTGTGGCCATGTGTCCTTTGATGGTCTCATTTATGTACAGTCTCTGTCCTGTGACCCTGGGGGTGTCGCGGGGTGGATCCTGGGTCTGGTTTGCCCCCTCCTAACCCCTCAAGCTGGTCTTGGGTCTGGCCTGGAGGAGCCACTCACACAGATGCTGGTGGGATGCCTGTGCCTCACTTGGCCCACCCGCCTGCCTCGGTTTCCCCAGCCGGGGCTCAGGAAGCTGCTGCTGTCTCGTGGGCGCCCTCTAGTGGAGGGATTGCACTGTGCCCTCCAGGGGGCTGCAGCCCGGAACCGTCTTGGGATCCTTCCCAGGCGGGAAGCGATACTGGGCGCAGAGCACTCTCTGTTGTTTGAAGGCCGCAGCTTGGCTGGACACCACAGAAGGGGCAGTTGGCCTTGGGGCCAGGGTGGGAGGGAGGCTCTGGTCTTCTCTCACCCCTGAGCTGCTGTCTGCAGGAAGGTGGCCCCGGGACACTGGAAATGGCCTTGGTCCCATTCTTGGTTCTACGGGTCCTTGAGACCAGAGAGGGCAGGAACCAATGAGTGGACGCTGGCCCAGCTCTGCAGGAGGGGGCCACGTCCTGCCCCAGCAGCTCTGGAGCCCTTGCGGTTAGGGCCAAGTAGGCTTCCACCTACTGAGCTGGAAGCTCTGATCCGTGCCAGCAGGGAAGGCCCTGGACATGCTCGGAACGGACAAGCCCCGCGTGTGGCCGCGTGAGCTGCATCTTCAGGTGTGGCTGTCGGCTCAGGCCCGGGTGGGAGCCTGCAGGGGGCAGGCTGCGGTTTCAGAAGAGGCTCTTGTAGCCCCGGACCCCCAAACTGAGCTGTGGATCTGAGCCCAAGTGAGTGGGGATGTGGGTCCCAAGGGTGTCCTGGGTTGCTGGGGCCTGAATTTGCCAGTGACTGGGCCAGAGAGACTTGGGACATCCCTCATGGGGTCTCTCTGCTTGCCCCCCACTCCCTGTGTGAAGGCCCAGGCCTCTGAGTCCCCCTCTGCTTCCCCCAGCTGACTGTGTGCTCTCAGGCTGCCCCAGGTGCCCAGAGCAGAGGTGGCCCTGAGCCAGAGCACAGGCCAGGTGAACAGGTGGGAGCATCACTCTGAACCCCAGCCACGCGCACCGTGAAGGGCTTGCCTCAAAGCTGCCTGGCCCCCTGGCTCCGCCCTAGGGTCCGGGAGGCCCAGGTGACGGGGGTGGACTTCACAATGTCTTCAGATATGTTGGAAGTGTGTGGGGAGAAACCAGGTCCAGTTCCTGGGGTTGTCAACTGTTTTGACGGCCCACGGAGGCCTGGCTGGGTCCCAGGACCCAGAGCCCCCAGTGTAGCCCTGGCTCGGGTCAGAATGCTCGTGACCCCAGAGACGTTTCTCCCCTGCCTCGGTCATCTGGGATGCCCAATGGCAGCTAAGCTCTGTGCTGGTACTTGGCACACCTGAAGGTGCCCCGCGGTCTCTGGGCCTTGGGTCCCCTGGGTTTGCTGTGCCTCAGCACTCGGGAGTGTGTGAGGGTCAGTAGGGAGGTCAGCACTCACACTGAAGCCAGATGGCCTGGCTGTGTGGCTTTCACCTGTTGTTTAGTGTCTCTGTGCCTCAGTTTTCTCTTCTAAAAAATAGGGAAACCAATAGTGCCAAACTCCCAGAGCTCCCCGAGGACCTGCTAGTGACCACAGGGAGAGCTTGGCGCTTGCTCGCCAAGGGAAAGTCTGGGGACCTGGCGGAGACCCCCGCCTGCTCGTCCACTCGGTCTCAGCCTCTCGCCCTGCTGACCCCACCACCCATGTCTCCACAGGGGCCGAGGAGGTGCTGCTGCTGGCCCGGCGCACGGACCTGCGGAGGATCTCCCTGGACACTCCGGACTTCACGGACATCGTGCTGCAGGTGGACGACATCCGGCACGCCATCGCCATCGACTACGACCCACTAGAGGGCCACGTCTACTGGACCGACGACGAGGTGCGGGCCATCCGCCGGGCCTACCTAGACGGGTCTGGGGCGCAGACACTGGTCAGCACTGAGATCAACGACCCCGACGGCATTGCAGTGGACTGGGTGGCCCGCAACCTCTACTGGACAGACACAGGCACCGACCGCATCGAGGTGACCCGCCTCAATGGCACCTCCCGCAAGATCCTGGTGTCCGAGGACCTGGACGAGCCGCGGGCCATTGTGCTGCACCCTGTGATGGGGTAAGGCGGGTGGGGGCTGCACACTCGGGCTCCCAGCCTCCCTGGCATCCCGGCGCTGGAGCGGGGCTGGAGTGGGCAGAGGGCGGCCGCCCAGGGGCTGACGGGGGCCGTTCTCAAACTAGACCCAGGCACTGCCGCTACTGCCTGTCCTCGGCCAGACCTTGCGAGCCACCGACGCAGGCCCTTGTGGTCCCTGTGGAGGTGCTGGAGGGCCCGCAGGCCTGTGCTCCTGAGTCAGTTCCCTGTAGAGTGCAGTCCCCAGCAGAGTGACTCGAGGGTGACATAGTGACAGGGATGGCTGCCTGTCCTAATGCTGCTTCTCCCGTAGCTTTCACCCTCCCCCTGTCCAGGGGTAGGGGTGGAGAGTGGAGGGCTCTGAAGCCCTCAGAGATTGAGGGACACACCCCAGGTCACACGGCACATAGACTGGCCCGTGCTCTGGCTCCAGCTGTCCGTTTTAGGGTTCTGTGCGGGTGGAGAGCTGGTCAGCCGCGAGGGCCTCTCAGACTGCAGCGGCCAGAGGGTGGAGGTCCAGGGCCTCCCTGGGGGCTCCCGACCCAGAAGGGGCAGGCTCTGGCGAGGGAGGCACCGTGTGCCCCGGGCGGGGTTGGGGGCTGCTGCCTCTCCTCAGCAGGGGTGTGGGCAGTGTCCTCCAGTGCCTTGCAGCCGCAGGAGGACGGAACAAGTCCATGGGCCTCAGTGGGCGCCTCTGGAATGGGGTGAGGGTGCCAGGGGACGGTCTAGAAGCCAGGTGAGGTGCTGGGTGGGGAGGCGCCACGGCCAATGGCGGAGAGGAGCGGCTGGGGCTGGGGCACGGCTCGGCTCGTTTTCCTTGCACTGAGAGCCGGGCCCCAGCTGCCACGCCAGGCTCCGGGCCCTCCTGGGCCATAGAGAACAAGCCACCTGTCCTGAGCCCTGAGAGGCCCTCCGCTGTTTGCAGAAGGCTCCGCTCTGTCCCTTCCTGTCAGTCCCTCTAGCCCAGGGGCTGTCATGACGCTGCCCCTGGCCCTGTCAGCTGACCTGGGTGATGGCAGATGAGCCCGCAGCCCGAGTCTCAGGGCCTGTGCCACGAAGCCACCCCTGGGGCACCGTGGTCTGGTGGTGGCCAGGGTCTGCCCGCTGGGCCTGTGGCTCACCGTGGGCCTAGCTCTCCCGTGGATGGGGTGGGATGGGGGCGATGGTACTTGGAGCTGGGAACATGGCAGAGCCCAGAGAGACGGTGCCATCTGAGCACTTGCTTCTCCCCCAGCCTCATGTACTGGACAGACTGGGGGGAGAGCCCCAAAATCGAGTGTGCCCACCTGGATGGGCGGGAGCGGCGTGTCCTGGTGAACACCTCCCTTGGGTGGCCCAACGGCCTGGCCCTGGACCTGCAGGAGGGCAAGCTGTACTGGGGAGACGCCAAGACGGACAAAATCGAGGTGAGTCATGTTCAGGGAGAGGGACGGACGAGGAGGGCATTGCTTCTGGAAGCCTGCGGCCAGGTGCTGTCTGCGGGTCACGTGTCCCCGTCGTGGGCATTGACGAGCACCTGTGCTGTGCCACCTGGCTGGAATCTTTGGGAGGACCGTGCCAGGGGATGTTTCCGGCACCCAGCGGCCGGGCGCTGTTAATAGCGTTGCGCGGTGGTGGGGAATGCGGCCTGGAGTGGGGAAGGGCCTCTCTGCTACTTTGACCCCTTAACTTTTTCAAAACACAAAGTTGTAACCTAAAATGGGTGACAGATCCTCAGCTGTCCACTGTGCAGCTTCAGATGTGATTGATGATGTGGTTGAGGCCAGAGGCCATGTTGTCCAGAGTTGGTGATTTACTCCCAAGTGGGGTCTTGAACTTTTTATTTTTACATACGTGTGTGTGTGTGTGTGTGTGTGTGTGTGTGGTGTGTCTGTGCACACGCAGTGCTGGGCGTGGGACCCAGGGCCCAGCGGGTGCTGGGAAGTACCCTCCCGCTGGCTGCTCCCCCAGCCCGGTCTTGGTTTTCGGGGTGCGTGGTGTCTCCTGGCACCCGGGGTGCTGTTCTGCACGCTGTGTGTGGTTTGATTTAAGTAGAACCATCTGCTCTTGGGGGCTTGCTTTGTGCCCACCCCAGAGCCTGCACCGGGTGCTTCTGCTGCACACGACCTGTCAGTTGTGCGTCCGTCACGGGCAGGCCACTGGCGTTGGTGGCCCCCTCAGGGTGCACCCCTCCCCCTGTGTCCCGTTCCTTCTGAAAGGTGCTCGTGTGTTCACGCTTGGTCGACTTGGCCATGGGGTCACCGTCCTCCGTCGGGGCCCCTGCAGGAGGGCAGGAGTGTGCCTGGGTCGTGGGTCTTCAGACCTGCTTCTCCACGGGACGCCTGGGTGGCCCTTCCCAGGAAAACCCAGGGAGCAGCAGCTGGAGATACTTCCTGGTGGCGTTTTTGCATCCGTGATCTTTGTTGCTAACAGGAATTTAAGGACACCCACCCCTTGGGCCTGTGGGAGAAGGCAAGGCGAGGACCTTCTTCCTGGAACACCTTTGGTCCTGTCCACAGGAGCTGGTTAGGGATGTGACGACCAGAGACGCCGCCGGGACCCATCCCAGGCACCACTGTGTCTGTCCCCACAGCAACATGGCGTTTAGTAATTGTCAGTGCCTGCACCTGTCCCCGCTGTCTCCTTGTGGAACGCTTTTGTCACCCTAAAAGGAGGCCCAGTGCCAGTTGGCAGTGTCCCCGACTCTCTCTGCCTCTGGGAGCTGCTGCCTTTTTCCTGTCCCTGCGGATTTGCCTTTCTGGACGTTCCCCGTGGTGACAGTCCTGCAGTGTGTGGCTTTGACATGTGGCTTCTTCGGTAGCTGTGCCCCACTGCCACCCCAGGACCGACCTGCCTTCCTGGGGCCCCAGAGCGCAAGCCACGGAGCCCTGGGAGCCCCTCCGCCGTCGCAGAGGCCCCTCCCTGCTTCTGTGGGTGCTCAGGTCTTCTAGCCCCAGGCTGTCGTGACGCTGCCCCCGGCCGTCCAGCTGCCCTTGGTGCCTCTGAGGTGGACTGTCCCGTTAGGCTCCCAGCTCAGGCACACTGGCTGATGTCTTGGCTGCGCCCTGGGGAGCAGCTGAGGTTCGGGGAGCCATGTTGACCTTCCTGGGGGAGCAGAAGTGGGAGAGATGGAGAGGAAAGGTGCCAACTGGGTCAGGAAGAAGCAGGACGTGCTTTGAACCACGGTGACGTTCTGGGAGGTACCAAGCCGGGTGCCCAGACACCGAGCAGGCGTGGGTGGATGGTGCGGCTCTCCCTTGAGGGGACAAAGGTCTCCTCCAGTGCGGCTCTGTGGCCTGGCTCAGCGCTGGACGGAGGGGCTCCGCACATGCTGACATGTCCCTTTAAAGAGGCAGCCAGGTTACCTGTCCCCACGTGGGGAGGGCTCTGTGGGCAGCTATGGCTGGTCCCCTGATGAGCTGGGAGGAGAACGCAGGTGTGGCAGGCTCCAGCTGACAGACAGCGTTCTGATTGGCCTGAGTGGCACACACCTAGGACTCGGAGCAGAGGGCTCGGTGGCCCAAGAGGCTCCTCCAGGGGGTCTCCTGCTGGCCTCCCCGTGACAGCTGTGCTGGACATCAGGCTGGGGACCAGCCCCCAGCAGCCCGATAACATGGAGCATTGTCTTCCCGGTGACCAGCCAGTTGCTGTCACAGTGATGCTGCAGTCACCCTCATTGCCTCACTGTGGGTGGTGGTCCCGGGCCCCCCAC